TAAAGTACCTACAAATGAATTTTTTGATTGACAACTTATAATGCCAATCTTTAACATGTTTACACGCTCATTAATCTGTCACTACATTAGTTATATATTACTTTCATTACAAGAGAGACTAAGAAATATGATACAATTCAACTCATTTATAGGGCGCAGACAGATTTAAGTTAATGAGTTGGCTTCTCTTGACGAAATACTGCGAATGACTTATCATTACCTCTGATATCGCAGCGATTTCTTCCTTTACTGATTCATTATTGAATACATGCACACAAGAAGAAATTGAGATGGTGTTTATATTTGTATTCTCCCTACAACCAAATAAAAGCAGAAAAACACATGGGAGGATTTCTTGATTTTTTAAGTGCTCACAGCTGAAATTATTTTTCATCAAGGCGCGATGATGACTCTATAAGTGAGAAGAATGTCAATAGGGAAAGGTGACATAAACAGAACGCAGCCTCGACACAACCCAACCACTCTTGAATGGCACCCAGAAAGGTACCGAGCCAAAACATGGGAGATGACAAAGGCAGCAAAAGGAAAGGGAGAGACATGCCAGAAACTGTGACAGTTATCAATCAAAAGGTCAGTCTATGGGACTAACGTGACAAGGATTTGGTAAGCATAAAATGGTTAATGAATTAAACTTGATATTTAATGCTGCTAAAACCGATGAAAACAATTTACAACATATGACATCATAGAATATGTCACCATACAGAACATGTCACAATTGATAAGACATAAACATATGAGATTTTGAAGAACGCATAGGGGTAACGATATGAACTATAAGAAGCAAAATCTAAACGGGTGAGTTAAACCTGGTTGTAGACGCGACAAACCACGTTTTTAGCACAAATATATTCCTATTTGGTGAGTGTGTTAATAGAATAAATCACAACGCGAGGTTAAATTCTTACAGTTGTCTTTTGTCAATAACTCAAGAACAGAAATGACAATTTAAATACAGATAAAAAAGATACAACACAATGACCATAAGAAAACCTTTAGAAAACTACTCGATGCAATACTCGATGCACTAAAGAAAAGTATAGCAACAAGAAAATCATATCAGCGTTACATATCGTTCATTTGAGATCAGTTGTTAAAAAGGTAATAAATTTGTTATTATGGTCACATTCAAAATCATTGAAGGTGAAACTTTGATGTCAACGCAAATAATAATTTACAATTAAAAACAAAAGGGACCTGATGCCTCTTATTTATTATAAAGGCTCAGTCCAAGTTTCTAGGATATTTGGATTGGAATAATGTCCCCTAGAGTGATAAAAATGTTTTTTCCATATAAGGACTACATGACCTAGTTTTTTACCCCAAGTGACCTATATTTAATATTGACCATAAAATCATCAAAACAACCTTTCTGACCAATATCCTGGATATTTGGAGTAAAACAGCAGCCCCTAGAGTGTCACAAGGATTTTCCATAGTTGGGTTGTGTGACCCCAGGTTATCCATATTCATTTTGATAAATTGAAGCAGTAAATAATAAACCTTGAGGCACAATCCTTTAACGTCTTGTTTTACGTATTATATGGGAACCAGACAAGAATTGCCGTAATCCTATTCAAGACTTGTGCATGGATACAATTAAATTGTATAACACCGAAACATTCGTGTTTATAAGCCTCATATCGTCCTGAAATTATGAATTATGTCCAGCTGGAAAAACACAACCTATTTTAGCACGTTTTGTCCACAGTTGTGTTGCAAGTCATTGCTTTGCCATGCGATGAAGTTGAAAACTATTCAATTAAACTTTATTAAATATTTATACATGTAAGACATTGACCTTGAAACCAGTGACCCCAAACACAATCTTAACTTTAAGGACCTCTTTAGATTTGTTCCTTGTAAATATGAGACATTGTTAAAAAGCAAAGCCTGTATAAAACAGACTCCCAACACTAAACCGTCCAAGTTCATAACCATCAGTCTAAATATAAAGGCTGTGTATGCAAATGTGTATAAATCTATTTTGGCACCCCTGATTTTGACCCACTGACCCCTAACTCCATACAAAAGAAGAAGACTATGCAAGATATATCTACTAAATATAAAAGTCATCTGTCCATAAAAAAGCTGAATAAAGCAAAAATTGAAAAAAGGTGAATCAATGTAACCTATTATTCTTTATATATTTGAATTTACTTATTTTAGGTGGACTTTTACTTTATATATATATATATATATATATATATATATATATATATATATATATATATGGATGTTACTAGCACAAGTATATCATTTTAGTGTATAAAATATTTGTGTGTATATAAAAAATCCTTATTGCCTAAGCAGCTTTCGATCGAACAATATGCATACTTTAGAGTGACGAAGCTTAAAGATTAATTTCGCGCAGATCATATTAATTATCATAAGATCAACATTTCATAGATAAAGAATGAAATAAATTGCAAAAAAATGGTTTGGCAGTGGCAAAATTGGATTGTCATGGATGTTAAATTCCGTATTTTACCAATCAAAACATTGTTGCTTTCTCTTTTTTCGCATTCCATATTAAATGGTTATCCTTTAAAATCTTAAAACATAAAAACTTTGCGCAGGATCTTTTTTGATCTGGGAAGAAGGTTGCAATAAGTAATACATGCAAGAAGACTTGATAAATGTTACTTCTGACTACAAGTTAAATAGTCATTAAATGTCTTATATATTGCTTCCGAGGGGGTACCATGATTTCGATGGATCTACATTTTTCCAGATTTTATTTTATAAATGATGGCCTAGGGTTATCTTTATCATATAAAATAAAAGGCTTAACAAGAAATTCACATGCCTGATCCTATCAATAATTAAGTGTTTCAGTACATGTTGTTTCTGTTTAACACCTTTGTTTGAATTTGCAATATATAAGCTAACAGCAAATTAAAATCAATGAGCAGAAGAACGTGAAATATAAAAATAAATACCATAATTGAAAGCAAATATTTCATATATATAATCAGAATTATCTGATCGAAATTGTACTCTCTTTAGGAAAATATAATATCGTAATACAATTAAGTAAAAAAATACAAAAACAGGAAACGTAACCTGTTGCAATAAATACAGGAAATATATCCAGAAAGCAGATACAGGAAACAAAATTTATCCTGTAGGGTAAAATGTATGTGATACTGCAGCTTAAACTAAAGAAATAATATTAACCCCTGCAGTCAGATACAGGACATGTGTGCCATCCTGCAATTATTACTACAGGAATAATATTTGACCCTTCAGTCAAAAGCTACAAATATATGTGATCATGCCACGTAACTACAGAATATTTATTAGATCCTTCAGTCAGATGCAGGAAATATAGGCGATACTGCGGTGTTCAATACAAACATCATATTGGATATTGCAGTCGGATATTAAAAATGCTTAAAACCTGATAAAGACAGATACGGGAAAGGTGTTGGATCCTACTGCAAAAAATATACAGGACATATATATTGGATCCTGAAATCAAATACAGAAAACATACGTGATCCTGCAGAGTTCAATACAGGAATTATATTGGATCCTGCAGACATATACAGACAATATTTGTGAGCCGGCAGACAAATACAGGAATCGTATTTGAGACTGCTGCGATAAATACAGGTAATATATCCTGCAGGCAGATACAGGAAACAAAAATTATCCTGCATCGATAAAAAAGAATTTGTATTTGATTATGAAGGAAATATATGTAATCTAACAGCATTAATTACAAGAAATGTTTGCGATCTTGCAGCATTCAATACAATAATTATATAAGCTCCTTGAGGCAGATACTAAAACTGTTTGTGATCGTTCAGTAAGGTGCAGAACACGTATTGGATACTGTTGCGATAAATACAGGAATTGTATTGGATCCTGCAAATCAGATACAGACACAGGAAACATATTACATCATGCTGCGTCAAACAGAAGTAACAGTTCAATATCAATTATTAGAGAATGATGAAAAAGATTACACTAATATTCTTGTATAGATTTATCCTATATATAACTTACGTTTTAAAATGATTGTACATAGCATAAACTAAGCCATGGGACAAACTACAAGCTAATCAACAGAGAAGTATGATTACTTTCATACTCATTTGCCTATTACTTGAACCATCTTGTTCGGTTGTTGCAATTTTGTAATAAGTAAAGCTATATTTTGTTTTGCATGAAAGACAAAATACTGCTCTGTTAACATTTTGCTACTTTTATCATTTGTTTTGTTAACATTTTGCTACTTTTATAACAAATTATTTCACATTGGTCATATAAACTTTGATTTGACTCATAACAATGTTTTATTCTGTATACTGTCCCATATCGTGTTTATGCGACTGTCATCCTTCTTATGCACAATGATGAAAAATTATTTCTACATGTATATGCCGGCGAACATAGTTTTAGGGGACCATAATACAGGAATCACTTTGTCCCGTCCCTCTGCGATCCGTCCCGTTGCGTCAGTTGAACAGCCTAACCTAAACATTGAGTTATAAGTGACATAAACCTTCAATGTCAAATTATTAAATTGTGTTAATTTTTTGCTGTAACTGGCTAGAAAAATTTTTTATTTTTAAAAAACGGGAAATTTCTTTTAAATTTTTAAAAACACAACAAAACCCCTTTTGATAAGGGCTTTTATCTGGAAACCCAACAATTTGATCTTTACTTTTAAAAAGAAACCCTTTACTTTAAAGGTTACTCATTGAATTTGCACTGTTTTTACTTTGATTGTCGGTAAAAAGTTTTAAAACTCAGACAGCTTAATGTTGACAAGCGTATGTGTCTTATTCTCTCGGCATCTTTGTCTTGCCAATAACACTAAAATTGTTATAAAATAATCTCCCCTGGATCAGCAATAACAAAAATACTATCTATATATAGATATATGGTATATATCTCGACGTAGCTTATTTCTCGATACGGTCAATGTTTCGCTCTTGCATTTGTTTAAACTTTAAAAAGAGACTTACTTTCATACCTATACGTGCAAACACAGCGTACGAGATAAACCCTTCAGTAGCTGTTAAAATATTAAGCCATCTACATTCATATACTAAAAATGAAATATCAAACTTGAAAAAAATGCCTTAAATTTGCAAGGTCGACATGTTTAGTGCCAATCGCAACTACTAGGCCCTTTCCCTCGAACACAATAGTATGAATACACAGAACGGATGCGGTATTTCGGTCTAAACTAAACATGTAAACAAACAGTAATTTAATGCTGGGAGTTGTTGACAAGTTTATTTCCAATAAATGTAGTAAAACCTCACTGTAGTGTTGTCCCGATTGTCTCTGAAAATCGATAACTAATCGGACCACCCCAAAATCGGCGACAATCGATAGTCCTTTTTAAAAATCGATAAAGTTGTTTAATACAAAAATTGCCTGTCACAAAGTTGTATTAGATATTTGTGTTTTTTGTTTTGGATTCAAAGAGTACATCTTACTTTAATCTTGGAGACAAGAGTTTATTTATTCTCATTATGTGGTCACTACTGTAGAAAAAAATACGAACAAGGATTGGTACTTTAAGAAAAAGGGCCATAATAAGTGCAAAACTCGATTATACTATCGGCAGACAATCGATTGTGGTGGTACAAAAGCAAACAATACATTATTTATATATTTATTATTATGGTTGTAGAAACCGAAAAAAACAACCTGTTGACATTTAGTCGGATTTGTTTAAAATTGAAGATCAGTGGGCATATTTAAATTACAAATTCTTGTCAGACATATTTTCAAGTTTAAAAGTACCGAAACAGACATTAGATGTCAAATGTATACATTCGTTTTACATATTCTCTGTTTCTGTTTACATCTGAAACCACGTGGTAGAACTACTTTCAATCCGTATTGTTTCCGAGGTTATTATAGATAATAGCCGGGGCAGTTCCGAATGTTTAAGTGCCAACGAAATATCAAAATCAACCACGAATAAACATACAGTTAACTGCTTGCCATTCATTTAAAAGTAATTCGAGCAGGTAAGAATATTGGATTGAAACTGAATTATGTTTTTTTCCTGACAATTTGACCATTTATGTCACTAAATTATACAATTTAAAACCCAATTTCATCAGTTGTTTTTGTGTACAATATTTCCCACGTGCAATGAATTTACCAATGTAAACTTTCCAATTCTTTACGAAAAGATTGAAGAAAAAAGTGTGTATTGGAATTTAGTTACAGGTGACATTCAATATATGACAATTGATATATAATAACTAAAAAACGCGGGAAACAAGTTTACGTATTTCCCTTTGATTATGTGTTTGTTGTAGTTTATGTTGACATGGAAGCAACATATGAGCTGTAGTCGTTCTATATATTGCGAATCACCTCTTGTTGCAGCTTAAATAACATTTCTATAAAAGAAAGAGATATTCTTAATTATTAGTTCTATGTTTCATATGTTAAATTGTTAAAAAAATAACTCTACTTAGTATCATGTCCGGGCTATAAAAGGGATTTATCAATATATACGGTATATACAGTCGGCATCGTACTTGCGTCCACCTTTATAAAGCGACTTTTTTATGAAGCGGCCGCTTAAAATCCCTTCCGATGATTTTTACTATAAAGGTTAATTCCATTAAACGACGTTTTTATATTGCGGCCAGATGTTTTCTATCGAAGACTATAATAAATCACGGATTTTAAATTTAAACATAACTAGAAAGGTAACGCGACTATGTCTAGAAATGTAATAACTATCACAATTCGTGAACAATATCAAACCAACTGTTACAGTTATAGTTACGTGTTTTGGTTTTGTAAAATAAATAAATGAGTTGACAGTATTTCATTTCTGTTATTTATTGAGTTTATTTTCACTTTATTTGCGATTTTCCCTCTATAAACATCGGGTATGTAACGGAATATGAACATCAATTAGAAAATATAATTAATTACTTTTTTACAGTTTTAAGTTCCTATTCATAGATACCAGACTAGTTATCTGAAGGTTTTTGGTTCGATACACAATCAACATCACGTCATACGCATTGTTTATTTTATTTTAGAATTTACTTCAAAAAATTAATTTGAAATCATTTTACTGCATCTGGTTTTATGATATCTTTTAAGTAGTGTTTTTTTACAGTTTTATGTTTTATTTCATTGCATTATCTTTACTTAAAGTACAACGCGCTTATAAAACAAATACAAATTACAATACCGATCAAATACACACACAAAATCAAAACAGTTTGCACTAGATTTGAGAGAAATGGCAATTTTTATATAAAAATAAGAAAAGAAAAGTGGCGGAACCAGGAATCGACCCTAGAAGTTTACGTCTATATTCTTGAAGTGAAAGACCTTTACATACATACATACATACGCACGCACGCACGCAAACATACATACATACATACATACATACATACATACATACATACATACATACATACATACATACATACATGCATACATACATAAAAGTACATACATACAAACATAAATTCTTTTCTTTTGTAATCTGATAATAGATTTAGTCCATGACTTGTGTTTGGTTATGGTTGTTGAGTCGTTTGACAAGCGTGTTATCTGTATTGTCATGCGATATCATAGAGTGACACCTTACCCGTTACTCTATTGTGTTCTTTTTCTTTACTTTGTATGACAGAAAAGACGTTAACCTTGTCATCTCGAATGATCTATAGAAAATACTAGCATTGTTCTTTAAACAGTAAATACCAGAGACGACATTTTTTGTTAATAAGATATTGAAATGATAATAAGCAATTGTATTAAAACTAACAAAGAATTCACGTACATATTTTTGAAGGGAAACAAGTTCGCTCCTTTATCCTAAATCAATTTCACTGTACATGCTTTACTGACTGTGGGTCGTCATGTTTCTTTCTGGTGAATTGTTCATATCATTTTAGCTCTTTAAGTTTTGGTGTTTGATTGTTTCTGTTTCGAACAATTTGCCTTTATACTATGACTTTTTCTAGATTTATTATCTATTTTTTCACGCCTAAACATACCCCTATATCAAATGTATAAACTGACGAAGAGATATAACAATGGTTTGTATCGTTTAAAGGGATGCAATATCATTTTCATATCAATTTTACATTTGAAGAGAAAACTTTTCAAGAAACTTCTATTGTATATGGCTAGTAATATTTAAAGGGACGCAATTCTATTATTATATCAATTTTACCTTTGAAGAATTATTCATTAATTTCTATTGCATATGTTTATTTTCAAGGGATAGTACCTTTTAAAGGGACGTGACTCAATTTTTATATTACATTTAAAGAGGTATTCATTTAACTTTATATTTGAATAAGGAATATGTATATACAATATAAGTTTTGTTTAATACAGTGAAAGTTTACATCACAGATTATTAATATGCATGTTGTAAAGGTGCCGAAATTTTCTCATTTACCGTTAAGTTAATTAAATTAAATTAAATCTTACTGCGTACATCTCGCGGAACGTCTCAAAAATCTATTGAAGATTTATGTATTGTGTGCTATGACCGTATAATCAGTATGTAGCTAACAGCTGCAGGTTAATAAAATCAAACAATACTTTAAAACGACTTTGTCTTTTCTAATTCATGTTTTATGATTAAAGGGACTCCACTGAGGTTTAAAAGCCTCAAAACAAAACATTTGAATTTCTTACATAAATGAGCTGGGGCACTTTAAACAGAAATATATGCAAAGATAGTTAAGAAATACCCTTTGAAATAAATTGAAAATCATATGTATATGCTTTTCTTAGCCCGATTTGAGTAAAAGTATTTAAACGCTTTTCATTTTCGGTCATTTTTTACAATTTGAATAATTATTCTGGAAAAACGTGAAAAGTGCGCGAATGATCTGAAATTGTGCACAAAGATTAGTGGTCTTAACCTACATCAAATTGTATATTTATCTGGAAAAAGTATTTTCAGTCCTACAATGTCAAAAAAAAACTCAATGGAGATCCTTTAATGTTGTGAATTTTAAATTGTAATGTAGATTCTTTTCATGAACATATCGGTATAACTAGAAGATCTTCTTGATAAGGGTATGTCTATAATTATCTTATTTAATTCGTTTCATTCTTCTATTTTACTGTTTGGGACAAATTACTTATTAAATATCAGTTTAACTGCCCAGGAGTCGATGTATTGTCCTCAGGTCATTTCTATCTATAGAATAACTTACAAGCGAATACGTCAATATATATATCATATTTCTGTTTTGTATACTACAATTAGTATAGAATATTATACACAAAGTGGTAAAAAAAAACGTTTTTGGGACTTTATCTATTAAAGTGAAGGGCACGATTATACCCCACCTAGAGAACCGCAGATATTCAATACACAACGGTCTATTGACATGAATGACAATCTATAGAAATCATATTCAATTTGCGTACCTTAGAACATATGACATGTGGGATCGTGATATTAAAAGCGATTAGATATGAAATATAAGAAATCTCATGTTATTTATTTAATATAGATAAAATGAATTAAAACAAAATATTGTATTTCCATATCACAATTATTCTGACCTGATACTTGTCATATTAATTGTTTATATCATAGATATTCAAATAATAATTAACTGTGACTAAAACGACTCATATGATAAAAACACACATCGGGCAATCATTACTTAAAAAATGAGCACAATAGATAAATAATAAACGATTTTAAAATGAAAATTGACGGATTGGTTTACCATTAAGGATGTTTATTACGGTATTTCAACAATCGTAACAGAAATCAAACGACTATCAAACGTCCATAAATATCGACACTATTAATTTCCGACTGTTCGTTAAAAAAAACTACGAAAGATTTGCTTCAATCCGCGCAAGTAACTACGTGTTCAAATTTCGCATAATTAAAATTCATTTACTCATCCGATTATAGAATAACGACGTATATTTGACATATATACAGACAGGTTATTGGCAATAATGCAATGGGAGAGCAGCGCAATAATGGTAACAGTTTTCAAATGTTATTTGACTGATTTTTGTACTTCTTATTTAAAATGATTATGCTATTATATGAGGCCTTGGGTC